AGGGGTGCGGGGGGGCGGGGTGGGGGGGGTCGGGGGCCTGCCTGTGTGTAGCGTGCTGGGGAGGTTCTCTGGGGCTGGGTCCCAGGGGGGTTGCTGGGGCAGGGCATTAGGGTCGGGGGGTCCCCGGGGCAGGGTGCTGGGAGTCCGTGGGTGCAAGATGCCATGGTCAGAGGGGTGACTGGGTGTAGGGTGCCAGGGCCTAGGGGGTCCCTGGGGCTAGGTGCAAGGTGCTCAGGGTTTGAGGCTACCCCAGGGGCATATCCCACAGCCTCCGCAGCGTCTAGGCCTGCTCTGGACTCTGGGGCCCGCATGGCTGCTGTGCTGGGCCCCGTCCTGCCCGAGTCTCCACAGGTCTCCGAGCTTGGTCTCGAGGGTGACGTCCTGCCTGTCCCTGGGGACCACCCAGCCTCCAGAAACCGCTTCCTCTACGTGCGTGGGGCTCTACACAAGCTGCCCTCTGGCCTCGGGTAGGTGCCTGGCGGTGGTGCCACGCTGCAGAGCCATGCCAGCTCCCAGACTCACCCCGACCCCTTCGTGTCCTGGCAGAGGACTGCTCCGGCCAGTGCCACCCTTCTCACGGGCCCTGTTCTGGAGCGGCCTGCGGGACCTACTGGCACCCGCCAGCACCCAGCCTGATGAGACAGTGCATGCCTTTGTCTGCCGGTGCTTCGGCGCAGAGGGGGGGGGCTGGCCGGGACGATAGCACCAAGGGCTTATCAGGGCCCTGCAGCGAGGCAGAGGGGGCCGCGGGGTGGGGCGGAGACTGTCCTCAGCCTGCTGTGTCCCCGCAGGTGGCTGACATTGCTGTGGACAGCTTGTGCAGGGAGGTGTTTGCTGGGGACTGCCGGGCGCTGAGCGTGCGCTCCTGCTTCCCCCCGCTCTTCGAGGCCGAGCAGCGCCGGCGCTCCGTCCTCCTGGGGCTGGTGCTGGGCCGAGGTGAGACCCAGAGCTGGGGGGGGAACACGTGTGTGGGACACCACCCACGGCGTGCGAGTTCCTGGATGGGACACCCTGGCATTGCCAGCTGTGGAGTTTAGGCACCCTGGCACTGTCACCCACAGCATGCAGGGACCTGGGGAACACACTGGTAGTGTGCTGGCACCATGGCACTGCCACCACAGCACGCTTGGGACCTAGGGGACACCTCAGCACTGTGACTTGTGGCACATGGGCACCCTGGCACCACCACCACAGTGTGCAGGGATTCGGGGCAGACACACCAGCACTGCTACCTGCTCCGTGCAGTGACCTGGGGAGGGGACGTGGGTGCTGGACCGGCCTCTCTGTGCCGCAGGGAAGAACCCTGGGGCCGAGTCGCCGCTGAGCCAGCGGGCACGGGCTGAGAGCTGGAGCCAGTGGTCCCTGC